TCACTTCCTGTCTTAGATTGTCCTTGTACTACTTAGTTTTTGTGCTCTGTCATTTAAACATTTCACTAATCCTATTTTTACTGAAATAGGATGGGATGATCGGAAGTCCAAATATCTGTTTAAATGTGTGAGTTTTCTGTAAACACTAGTGTTTAACTTCCCATCTTCTTTCCTTTTTACGTTGCAATCTAACATTGGAAGTTCCCCCTGTTGACTTTCCAATTCATAAGTGAATTGAATTGCCTCTACCTTCGAGTTGATGTGTTCGAAAAATCTATCTATAGCTTGTGTTCTAAGTACAGTGAATGTGTCTTATTATTATTTATTATTATTATTCTTATTATTTTTTCTATTATCACCAATGATATTCTTAATTGTGGGGAACTAGATCGCGCGACAGACTGTGAGTGAAGAGTGAGGAGACAGCAACACGCTGTACCAGTGATTACAAGACTCTAGAATATCTGGATTTCACAGATGATATATGTCTTATGTCACAGAAACTCGAGGACTTACACGAGAAAGCCAGCGAACCTGCAGAAGAGGTAGGCAGAGTAGACAGGATTACACGTGATCATAGAGAAGACGGAGCTGATGAAGGTGATTAAGCAACAGCGACCATCAACAACAACAACAAAAACCAGTACCAATCACCATCAGCTGGAGAACTTTGACAGAGGTGACTTCCTTCACATATTCGGCAAGGAAGCAAAGTTTCAACCATAAACCGACGGAACGAATGAAGATGTCAGAGCCAGTCAGACAGAATTGAAAAGAGAAGGTACACCTTCCCCACTTCGAAATCGGTTGGGAAATCTTCTGCACTGACTCAGCCAGCATAACAACAAGATTTGGAATTTCAGCGCAAATGTGAGGTCAGTCAGATCTTCTATAAGAGTGATAAAGTTTGCTAGTGTTTCATGGAAAGGATTTCCAATAGCCTGCTGCAAACGTTTATCAACATCTGCCTTCACTGGCTGCACATTGAAGATCGAATGGCCGGCTTGAAAGAATTAGTAGGAAGGAACTCTGGGAAAAAAAACAACAACAACAAAGAACCGATCGCTCAACAATATGCAGAAGAAAATGACGACGGACTGGACACACTCTGAGGAGGTCATCGAGTGACATCTTGCTCAATGCAGGTCATGACTCGAGTGGAACTCAATGGGAAGCGACGGGTGAGTCGTCAGTGCTAGTGTGACATGAGGAGATGAGAGATTACGGGTAGCTCTGCGGCTAGCCAGCTGACGAGGACAGCAGAAAATAGAAGAAAGTTGAGATGTGTTACTGAAGCCCGATGTTGGACTCGGAACCCAAGGGGATAATAATAATTATCATTACTATCATTATAATTATTATAACATTTAACCGACTGATATATCGTTCATAAATAGCAGTCTATTCAATATTTTGGAAAACAGATAACCTATTTGATTCAGTTTTATATCACCGACTTTAGGTAACATAAAACTTGAGTAATGACAGTATTCTGAATACAATTCTGTAAAATTCTATTCTGAATCCCATGGCCCATCTGGCATAGAAATTAAATGGAGCAGTCTAAAGGCCACTGAATAGAATCGTTGCTGCCAGCCATGTTCTCATTTTATCTTCAGTCGTCATCCGCTAGAAGAATGGAATTTGAGCATTGTGCTAGAATATAATTACACAATGGAATAATTCTACTTCTTATGACACAATGATTCATCGAATATACACCAAACACTTTCAAAAGGAATAATGCGACAGTGATACTAGCACCTTGATAATAACAGTAGCTTTATTCTAAAAAAATACTTCTATTACATAATATGGAATTTTCAGCATGTTTCTTATTTAGATATGATAGAGAAGATTTGTAGCTCAGGTGGATGATTTTGATGTGGTTTTGTTCTCTGAGCTGGATGGTTAGTTTGCGAAGCTTTCATCACCCTACTGGGTGACATCTTCAGCGCATACTTCAATTTGAAGTGAGCTTTTAGATTTCTCCACGAGTTTATTAATCATCTCTCCTGGTGACCTTGGACGTGATTGGTTATTTGTGTGTGTTTTCACACCTTCTAGGTTACTTGTATTGGAACTGATTGTTTCTTTGACTTGAACTTTGACCCTTTGTGTGTGAAGTTTCTTTCTTATTGGTTGATAAATTTTGTCTATCTCGGTGTGTCTATTGATTGAAGAAAGAAAACAAAGAAAATCGCCTTACCATATATAAAGGATATCTCAGAAATCACTAAAAGACTCTTCAAACCTTTAGGAATTGACCTCGTACACAAACCAGCAAAGTCGCTGCACTCAATTCTATGTCAACCAAAAGACTCAACAGCGAAAGAAGACAAAACCAACATCATCTACAAAATAAAATGTAACAACTGCGAAAAACACTACATTGGTCAAAGTGGACGTCCCCTTCGTCTTCGTATCCACGAACATAAGTTAGCCGTCAAAAGACATGATATCCACTCCCTCATTTCACTACACACAGACAACTACGGACATCAATTCGACTGGGACAACGTTCAAATATTAGACAAAGGAAATAACAAGAATGCTAGAGAATTTTTAGAAGCTTCACATTCTAGTGAATCATCAATCAATAGACACATCGAGATAGACAAAATTTATCAACCGATATGAAAAAAACCTCACACACAAAGGGTCAAAGTTCAAATCAAAGAAACAACCGGTTCCAATACAAGTAACCTAGAAGGTGTGAAAACACACACAAACAACCAATCACGTCCAAGGTAACCAGGAGAGATGATTAATAAACTCGTGGAGAAATCTAAAAGCTCACTTCAAATTGAAGTATGCGCTGAAGATGTCACCCAGTAGGGTGATGAAAGCTTCGCAAACTAACCATCCAGCTCAGAGAACAAAACCACATCAAAAACGTTTCTTATTAGAAGGTATTTTTAATACTTGTGTAGAACGTTCAAGGAGTATGATGGATGATAACATATGAACTTAAACGATATTTTATTTTATCCTAGGCATACTCCAATAATCTATAATATTTCTTTTACAAAACTCATAGCAATAAGTTGAAGTTGATTTGATTCTTAGACATAATTGTATGATCAAAACAATGTGAAATAGAGTATACATGATGCATTTGAGCGGAAAGAAAATCTAGGTAGGTCAGGGATTTAAGCAGGTCGTCAAAAATGATTATCAGAAATAAACTGTGTTGAAAATAGCATCAACAAATAAACAACATTTTAGCTCTGTATATATGGCATCACTCATTACATAAGTATTAGCCTACCAATCTAAGTTTATCTCATACCGTCTTTGCCGATGTTATATGTCTGATTTCTCACAAACTGGAAGATATGCAAGTGAAAAGCAACAAGTTGGCAAAAGAAGCATTAAAAATAGGAGGTACTTCAAGTGATCATAAAGAAAACAGAGGTGATGAAGATTCCTGGCCAACAGTAATAGCAACAACAACAGACAACAATCAGCTAGCATAAATGGGAGAAATCTGAAAAAAGCAACTTTCTTTACCACTTACCTACATGGGAAGCATCGTTTCAACTACAGGCGAACGGAACTGATGACGATTTTAAGGCGAAAATTGGGACAGCAAGGGAAGCTTTCATTACTCTAAAGTCTAAGTGGAGATTAACAGCACTCAGAATGAAAAACAAGATCCGGATCTTCAACTCCAATGTGAAGTCAATGTTACTGTACGGCTCAGAGTCTTGGTGCCGCGTCACGAAGGGCACTTCGAATAAATTACAGACATCATCAACAGCTGTCTTCGCCCAATATTCAAGATCAGATGGCCAGCCAGAAAAGATCAGCAACAGGGAGGGATCTGTGTGAGTGAACCAAGCCAACAAGAACCGATTGTGCAACAAATTTGCAGGAGGAAATGGAGATGGGTTGGTCATACTTTGAGATAACCATCAAGTGAGTGACATCACATGGCAGGCCACCGCTCGAGTGGAACCCGAACGAAAAGCGACGAGTTGGTCATCAGTGCGAGGGTGACATGGAAGAGGAGAAGGTGATATGAAGTGGAGATAAAAGAATATAGGGAGACGTGGAGCCAGGTGAAAACGTTGGCAGAGAACCGAACGCAACGGAGACGTGAGGCTGAAGCCCTACATTCCTCTAGGAATTAAAGGAAACAATAATAACAATACATAACGTCTTAACACAACTGCTGATACTTATCCAATGTGAGTTCATCTTATCTCTGGACAATTATCCAGCAGTTTCACAAGTTCACTCATTGTGATCAACATACATATTATTATATTATTATTACTATTGTATCCTTTAGTTCCTAGAGGAACATAGGGCTTCAGCTGCGCACCTCCATTGCCTTCGGTTTCCTGACAACTTTTTCACCCCGCTCCAGGTCTGTCCACATGCTTTCATCTCCTCCTCGCATGACCTCCTCCAAGTCACACTTGCACTGACGACCAACTCGCTGCCTCCCTTTCGGGTTACACTCGGCAATGGCTTGTCTAGTGATGTCACCTGATGGTTTCATAAGCGTATGGCCAATCCATCTCCATTTCTTTCTGCCTATTTGTTTCACAATCGGTTCCTGATTGGTTCGCTAATTGCCAGAGATCCCTGTTGCTGATCTTTTCTGGCCGGCCATCTGATCTTGAGTATTGAGCGAAGACATTTGTTAATGAAGGTCTGTCGTTTGTTTGAGATGCTCTTTATTACGCACTGGCCAAGTCTCTGATCCGTATAGTAGCATAAATTTAATCTCTGTTTTCCTGATCATATATCACATACATATGAAATAGATTGTCGAATTAGCCTGTTTGGATCTTTGCATGCACCTCAATGAAGTGGCCGTTAGATTATCCTTGCAACATTAAAACGTATGCTAAAGTAAGGAAAAATAACTAACTTATTATATCATTATTATTATTTATTTTTTTATATATATGTGGATGAATACTGTGGTGAAATAAAACCCACTTAAAGTATAAATAATCTTACTACGACAATTATTGTTGTTAAAGTCAGACATAAGAAGAACTACAATAATCTCCATATAATATCCAAGTTAAATAACATATATAAGAAGAACATAATCTCAATATTTGTAATTTAGATAAACGTCTACCCGATTGATTGTTATTATTATTGTTATTGTTAGTAGTATTAACACTAGTAGGCAGTAAACTATGCAATTTTTTAAAAGCTTTATTAAATTCTGCAACACGTTGACGTTCTCTAGCTGCGTGTGCATTTCGATATTGTAGTGAAGCACGTTGACGTCGTTGATGTTCACGATAACGTTGTTTTTTCGCCTTATCCACTGGCTGATTGCTGTTATCATTATTATTATTATTCTCTTCTGTTAAATGTTCAATCAATTTTACTGTATCGCATAATCGTGGTTCTGTTTTTTTCATATTTGATACTGTCATGTTTACATTTGATGAATTATTCATTATCATTGATGAATAAAGATTTTTAGAGATAACAGGATCACTGGTGAGTATCGCTGCAGGTTGAGTATAATTCATGATAAAGATTAAAATGAGAGAAGTACAATAATATAGTAGATTTCAAAGATTTGTATGAGTTGTTTATATATACTTGTTGTTCAAGGTGTTCAATTGGTCAGAACGACACTAGTAAAACTAATAAAAGAAAACAGTAAATGATGAAAAGGATATTGAATGTTTTATTGTGAATGAAAGTCAGTGAGTCTACTGAGAAGATGTAATTATTAAACAAATAATTTATTATTATTTTTTCATAAAAAATAAATAATTTAATTAGTTACATATTGTTATAACTATTATTATTATTATTACCATTTGTTATGGGAATTGTCCTACTTTCAATCATTGCCTCAAGCAGAATAATTTCAGAATTCGAATAAAAAAAAAGAAATATAATATCTATTTGTACAGAATTAAAAGAAAGAATATATATGTACATTTATATGTATAGCATAATTTTGAAGCTTTGATTGAATTAACTAATTCTGAAAGATTCTTGTAAATTAATTTCCTCTGCTTTGCTTCCTTGTGAGCGTAACACTATGCTATCGTTGTTATCGTAATGACAGCTATCTGTAAACTGTTATATAACGATATTACTGATGTCAGACGGTTGGAGGCAACCGGCAGAAGCCTTGCTTGATCTCAGTTTCGTGGTATTTGTCATTCATCAGTCAGCAAGGTGTATCTGCAACATTGAAAGGACCCATGTCCTAAAACCCGCGTCACCCAGTGCTATAGTCAGAGGTGTTACTATTGAGCTATTCAAGCTGGCGATTGACCGCCTTCTTGTCGGACTGTGTGCATCGGTGGCACAGTGGTTAGGACGCTTGCCGACCATGCACATGGTCCGGGGTTCGATTCCCGGCCGACGAGGCACTCCTTTACCTCGTTAAGCCAGAACTACTGCTGGTAAAAAGGAAAGGTTGAGCATGAGGCTAGCAACCCCATCCTGTAAAAATAAACACTGCTACAGAAACTTCAAGCCACCAGCTTGAAGCCCTATGTTCCACTGGGAAAAATTATTAAATTATTATTGTCGGACTGTATTGGATAGTTTGATTGGACACTAATAACTAGTGTGATGTGTCTAGTCATTTCTTTGGTGCTGATGAGGGCTAACTAGCACGAAACCTAGGTCTAAGGCTTCCTGGCGATTATCTCCAACCATCTAGCATCAGCGATTTTGCGTGTACCGTGATGGCCAGCTACCAAGAATGGTGGCCAACGTGACTGCGAGAATTCAGTCTGCACTAAACAAAGGACAAGACATATCACACTAGTTACAAATGTCCAATGAAAGTAACGTTATCATTGTTATTAATATTTTGATTATTCTAAGGAGTTCCAAGTGGAATAAACGGTTTCATCAACACATCGTCATTTCACTCCGTCCCATGTGGTCTTTCTGAGCTGGCTCCACGATTGCTCACAAGTGTTCATTCCTTCCTCATACTGTCTGATCAGTTTTATTATCTAAAGCTCAACTCATGGTTTCCTATTCAGTGACACATGATGTCACTCAACGGACATTTCACTGTATGTACAGTTCATCTCCACTACATTCTGCATATCTGTTGATCAGCAGCTTCTCAACTAGTCTACTGCTAGAATTGTTCGTTGCTTATCTTTTCTTGTCGAAAAAAAGCAACTGGTGATGAAAGTTTACAACAGGCTATTGGAAATTAAGGTGAGAGGAAAGATGTCCACCGAGAACTTTCTTATTATTTCTTTACATAAAGAGAGGAATCATTTGTTCTCGTCAGGCAGAGAATTTAATAATTAATTGTTTTACTTCCTTGATAACCAATGATGATGATTAATACAGTAACTCATACCTCTACGTACAAATAATCCCACATATTGAAATTGCATTCTGGACAAAAAATCAAATTCCTGTGATGCAATCATTGGTTAATCTGTTTCTATACTCCTGGCCCGTACTTTCTTTAGGAGATATAACTATGTAACTAATCTGTTGATGTAAAACCAACGACTGATTAACATTTAAAGGGATCGTTTTAGACAGCCTGGACTGTGTTAGAAGAGTACTACAAATGATTTATTAGGTGATAATTAAGTGTGAAATGAAAGTCTGGATTGAGTCGAAATTTAAACCAGCGATCTCCAAATGACTAACCTGGTTGTTTGACAGCTGAGTTATGCCACAAGTAATACTCCATTGAATGAAGGCAAAACCTGCTAGAAAAGGTCTTCTCTTCTCAATCCGAACTATATTCATGTAGAAGGAGAAGATAAAATGCTTAACTGAGAATGATAATATCTGAGATAGACTTGAGTTAGAAGAAATCTGTAATGGATCAAGTGAAATAAAAGCTTAATTGGTTAGTTCTGATTATGAGTGGCAATAGTTTGTGCTCGAAACGCGGTCATCAGTTAATATAACTGTACAACACTGTGTATGATTTATCAAAATAAAATCTTATCCATAATGGAGTTATTCTCCACCACAGTGCCCAAGTTTGACACTTGTATCTATTGGAAATGCTTTTGATGAAATGCGCACCAAGTCTCTTAACCAATATAAAAGCACTAAATTGACACTAGCACTGAAAATCTGGACTTCATTCCTTGCCTAGTTTACTAGAAGATAATAAATTGGGAAAAGGAGGGGAGATTGGGCATGAAGCAGCTAGCTACCCTAATCCATAAAATCAATCCAGTCACTACAGGAACTTCAAAGTACAGAAAAAAAAGAGAAATATCAACACGTATATGACTCTAATTCTTTCTAGTCTTTACCTACAATGTTACCATGCATTCATGGAGCTTTTGTAATTGTCATTGTTTGTGAAAACTTGAAACACATTGTCAATGTCAAGGTCAATGCTTGGCATGCGATTCGCTCCCGCCAAATGCAAGATGATGTTACAGGACTGGACTACATCGACGCCTAGTTTAAAAATAGGAAGTGAAGTGGTAGAGCACGTTGACCGCTTCACTTATTTAGGAAGTACCATCAGCCCCAACGGGCTGATCTCTGACGAAATCTCAGCATGAATACAAGGGGCTCGTTTCGCATTTATTAGTTTACGCCGACTCTGGCGTAGACGAGATGTTCGACTATCGACCAAAGGGCGGGTGTACTGCTCATCAGTCCGCTCCGTCCTCCTTTATGGTTGTGAGACCTGGCCACTGAGAGTGGAAGACATGAAAAGACTAGCTGTCTTTGATCATAGGTGCCTGCGTTCAATTTCCCGTGTAAAGTGGCATAATAAGGTGAGCAACATGGAGGTTAGGCGTCGAGTTCTAGGTAAACAGGGGAAATCAATCGACGAAGTCGTGAAGCTACAAAGACTGAGATGGTTAGGACATGTGTTACGTATGCCAAGCCATCGCCTCCCTCGACGAGTAATGTTAGCGGATATAGGGTCAGGCTGGAAAAAAGCTAGCGGCGGTCAAACAAAAACATGGCTTCATCAGTCAATGAAATCCACAACAGTTGGTCTAAGCCACGTAGAAAGGTGTAGACTTCCTGACTGGTTGGGGTCCTCGGGACGGTAAAAATCTATGGTTGGAAACAATTGGTGACATGGCTCAAAATCGTTGTCAGTGGCGCAGATGCATCCACTCCCTGTGACTTATGATCTTCAATGAAACTGTTTTGTATTTCTTTATTACTCCTTTGTCTCACACCTCTGCTCACTGTTTCTATTATGCTTTTCTTGTACTTTCTTCTCTTGCTTCGCGTGCTACACGGAATGTGGCGACTTGAACTTCCGCACATTTGTGCAAAGTTCTATGTCGAAAACAGACAGACATGTCAAGGTCAACACCTCTCTCAATTGCTTTGATAGTTACTCTGAAACAGTAGCAGTTGTTTTTTTTATCAACAGCCGTCTTCTTTTTAGTATTCGTGCGCCTTTAGTACTACTGTCGTTGTTTAACCTTGAAGTTTCGAATAGCATGTGAGTAGTTTTCTTTTGGCGCATTAGGCTGGTATAGCGCAGAATCGACTGGGTTGCATTACCAGTCATATTACTAATGGATCTCAGTTACACATTAAGTTACATCTTGGAAGATTATTTGAGTGGCAATGAAAAGTTCAGTGAACGGCAAAATACTAGAAAGTGACAACACTTGGGACAATCAAATTTAGTAATAGAGGAAAAATGGACAAAAGAGGCCTAATAGAGAAGGACATGATTATATATTATTATTCTCTTGGCTTCCGAATCGAACATAGGACTTCAACAACAGATCTCAAATTTCTTCTATTTTCTGCTGTCCTTTTCAGCTGGCTAGCCACACAGCCAGTTTGTTGTTGTTTTTTGCCGGTAAGTTTCCGAGTTTGTGTGACATTCAACATGGATCTGCCACGCTCGAAATCCAGATCTTCCAGAGTCTTCTTATCTGTGGTTCAGCGTATGAAAGACTTGATATTTCTCTCAAATTATGAAATTAATGTAAGATTGATGATTTTGCTTAATGTTCGTGATATTCGTTCCTAATAAATGCTAGCTCTCGCCTTACCAGATTTTTGCCTTCGATGAACAGTAGAATGAGTATAGTCTAACTGAAGGCAAAAAAACATAGGCAGCAAGTTTCAAGACAGTACACACTAAAGTGGTAAAAATTTGTAATTATTTTACACTAATCTTAAGTAAACAAAAAGGTACGTGTACATATGAATTTATTAATAAATAATTTAAATTGTGTATTTTGTTAAGATGAAGTTAGACTTTTAAGATATAAAAGTAAGTGTTTTTCCTCCCCTCATTCCTCGCTTTCCTTGTGGAACATAACACCTCAATCTTTGAAATTTCAGTAGTGGTTGTGACGCCTTCACAGGATGGAGTTGCTAGCCTCATACCTGACCATCCCCATTTTCCAGACTTAAGATCAGCTTGTAAAAATAAGGTGGAAATTAGGATCGTATTGACCCGGAATTGAGCTAAGAGCATGTGAGTAGTCAGTGAACATTCGGCCACGGACTCACCGACGCACACAGATATGGAGTGCTTGATAATTTTTTACGTTATCATTGTGCACAGCGG